ACTCGGGAGGTGGGGGGGGGGGGGGGGGGGGCAGGGGGGGGGGGGGGCCTCCAGGGGGGGGGGGGGGGGGGGGGCTGGGGGCCTGGACTCCTGGGTCCCTGATGCCCCCTTCTGCCCACCGCAGCCCTCACTAGGCGTCTCCCATTCCTCGCAAGCACTCCTGTTTGTCATTCTCTGCCCCGTGGGTGCATACTTCCCTGGAGACGCCGTGGACCCCGTCTCCCTCCTGGCCGACCCAGCCTTCATCCGGGCCTGGATGGGTGGGGTTGGTGACTACAAGCTGGGGGGGTAAGTAGTCTCTCCAGCAGTCCCTCCCCCAACCCTACATGTCCGGGACGCTGGATGTCCGAGACACTGGCTGTCGTGCTTTGGGTGTGGATTTGTGTCTTCAGATGTCAGTTGTCCTTCCCGTCTCGTTTCACATGACTGGGAACAGCTCTGCTTGCCCATGATGTTGTTGGCACTGTTGGGGGCGGGGTGCTTAAGGAGAGAGGGTCTGTGCTAAGCGCTATGGACACATCGGCTCAGAATTTGGAAGGGGTAAGGAGAAAGTCAGTGGAGAAACCTGGATTGGCCTCCTGAGAAGCCTCCAGAAATTAAGTTTATCCTTAGCTCATTGGTCTCTCCCCCAGGTAGCCTTCCCTGAATGCCCAGGCTCGGCCAGCGCCCCCCCTCCCCACCCCCATGCACAGCTCTCATAGTCCCCTGGGTCTCCAGTGATCACCATGCTCTGTGTTGGCTTCCTGTGTTAATCTGTCGCCAGGGACCTCGGCTGAGTAGGGCAGGGAGGGTTCCCCTCCCCCCGAGGTGATCCAGGCAGAAGGTGGGGTGACGGTGTGTTGGGATAGCAAGTGTGACCCCAGCTGGGAGCTTCATTCGGGTCCCTTCCACACACTTACCTTGTGAGGTGTCCCGAGGGCCAGGCCCTGGGCCAGGCGAAGCTGGGGATGCAGAAGAATCAGGTCCAGGCCCCGCCTTCCAGGGGCCCCCAGGCTAGTGGGAGCCCCAGGATCCAGAACAGCCGGCACTGTGATGGCAATGGCAATGGCCGGGGCATTGTTCACCGAGGAGACAGTGAGCCCTCAGGTGAGTCTGAGGAAGGAGCCGGTTTGCTGGTCAACCATGCTTGTCTCTCTGCCAGAAATTACGGGCCCACCGTGTTGGTGCAGCAGGAGGCGAAAAAGAGGGGCTGTGAGCAGGTGCTCTGGCTCTATGGGCCTGACCAGCAGCTCACCGAGGTGGGCACCATGAACATCTTCATCTACTGGACCCACGAGGACGGGGGTGAGCCCTCCCATGACACCCACCCACCCCTGCCCCCTGGGGAAGCGGGTCTATCCTAAGTCCTAGCCAACTGCGGGCTTCACAGATGGGGGGGGTTGGGGTGGCTTTGGAAGAAGATGGGAGGGTGTGCCTGAGGGCGTGAGGTAACCCCCCCGCCTTTATACTTGCCCCAGTGCTGGAATTGGTGACCCCCTCGCTGGACGGTGTCATCCTGCCTGGAGTGGTCAGACAGAGCCTGCTGGACCTGGCTAGGACCTGGGTGAGGGCGCCGTGACTGTGGGTGGCTGGAGTGATGGGGTACTGCTATGTTGGGGGGCCAGAACCTCAGGGGGCTCTGGGTGGGGGGCTGGGGCACACTAGGACGTCTCTGCCCCTTCTCTCTGGGTGGCTGTCTCCTCGGGTGTCTGTCCCCATTCTCAGGGAGGGAGAGGCAGGGCTGTGCTGCGAGGGCCACTGCGGGCTCACACGTGTATCGCTCGGCAGGGTGAGTTCCGGGTAGCGGAGCGGAAGATCACCATGAAGGAGTTGTTGCGGGCGCTGGAGGAGGGGCGGGTCCGGGAAGTCTTTGGCTCAGGCACCGCTTGCCAGGTCTGCCCTGTGCACCAAATCCTATACCAAGGCAAGGTGAGATGGGGCTGCCATTGGAGACGGGAGGGAAGAAGGGGGTTCCTGGTCCTCACGGCACTGTCTTCTCCAGCACTTGCACATTCCCACCATGGAAAACGGGCCTGAGCTTATCCTCCGCTTCCTGAAGGAGCTGAAGGCGATCCAGGTGAGGTGCACTGGCCGGGAAGTGGGCTGGATGTTTGTTCCCCGGGGAAGTTCACGTCCCAGGAGCCCCTGGACTGGGAGCCCTCCTGCCCTGCAGCCCCAAGAGCCAATCATGGCCCTTGCCGTGGGCCTTCGGGCCCCAGACTGAGTCACTCTCCTTTCCTGGGAGCCTCTACACGCTGACGAGGAAGCCCCTTCCCTCCCCCTCTGGGGCTCCTGCGTCTCCTTGCAGTGGGGACCCCTTCCCAGGGGCCCGTAGGACTTGGGGCCAGAAGCCCTATGCGGAGCCCCTGGCGCCCCGGGCTCTCCCTTTGGCCTGAGAAATCTTCCACAAGCCCCGGAATCCTGGTCCGCCTGTGTGGCCCAGGAATATTTCCTCTCATAAGCTCCTGGAGGTGTTTCCATTTATCTCGGCCGAGTTCTCTTTCCTGAGAACCTCTGGGCTCCTTTCCCGGCACTCGACCTAGAACTGCCTTTCCTGTGAGCTTCTCTAAAGTCCGGTGCGGTGCACCAGGACCTAGAACAACACCTCTCCCTACTCTCGGGGCCATCTCAGCCAAAAACGATCCCCCTCGCCACCGCCACCCACCACCACCACCAAAAACCCTTCCAGGCCTTCCAGTGACTCTTTGCAGAACTCCATCTCCCTTCAGCCTCTGCGCCCACTCGGCCACGGTTCCCCTGCGGTTATTGGCCGGCTCCCGGGAAGTGGACTACATTTCCCGTGAGGACCTGGGGCGCAAATCCACAACCAGTTAGCCTGCGGCGTCCCCGGGCTTGCTGGGGGTTGCAGTGTGGCTTTCCTCTCACACCTCGGCTCTGTTGTCCCGCAGTACGGAGCAGGACCTCACGAGTGGATGCTCCCAGTGTGACACTAAAGACTCGGCCCTCCCTCTCCTCGGACCCACCCATCCACGGCATCTAGTCCTCGCCGGACCCTCGCCTCCCTACCTATGACTCACCTGAAGTGCAATATGAAATAAAAGGCCGGGGGCTGCCGGGACGCCTGGGTCTCTGGCGCCCCCACGTGGTCTCTACACTCCCAAAGCCATAAGGGCCGGACCCAGGCGTCCGGGCCCCCAGCCCCGCCTCTAAGACCTTGGGGGATCTGGGCTCCCCGCTGCTCCGTGTTGTGGGGTCAAAGATACACTTTGGCCCTGACTCCGCATCTCTCCGTTCTCAGGCCGGATCTCCCCGTGCTGCTGTTGATTTTTTTTTGTTTTCTCTCGCTGCAATTTTGAAATAAATGCCAAAGAACAAGCCATTAGCTGTCATCTCCAATGATCCAGCTCAGGGACTCTAGGGTCTTCGCCAGGAATCCCTGTCCTGGGCCCTTTTCATTCTCGAAGACCCAGCAATCCTAGCCCCCAGTGACCTGGCGTTTTCCCTGACATGGGAGGTTTTTCCACCTCATCATACACTGAGTTTAGCCTCTTACCCTCCTCTACTTCCCCATCTTTGGGACAGCCCCACTTGTACATCCAGTCACTAAGCCAGATCCCTCGGCACTGCAACCCCTTTCCCCCCGCAAAGCCCATCAGACTCAAGCCCTGTCCTGTCCCCGGCTCTGCCCTGCCTGTCTCCTCCTGTGTCCTCTCAGCCCTGCTTCAGCTCAGTTCTTGTCTTCTCCTGCCTGGACCCTTGCCCTGCCTAGCCCGCTCTCTGCATCCAGTCTGGCCCCCAAAGGGTCTTTGTACCCCCGGCGCTGCCTCCGCTTACTCTCTTCCAAGGGCTTCCCAGCACCCATGGCCAATACTGCTGATAGTGGGCCCTGGTGGGTGGGGAGCAAGGCAAGATGCTCTACCCTTGGAGGCGGTGAACATCAGAAGTCTATAAAACCTAGTCCCTGTTCCCACCCTGTGTCATGCCTTGTGTCCCAATCTTGGACACAACCTTTCACACACATGCTTTAATAATTGTTATGTGTAGGTATAGAGAGAGCCAGACATTAGGACCAGGCTGATGTAGGAAAATGTCGGGGTTCGGAGCTGACGACCAAGGAAGAGTTCTTGAGACATCTTTGGTGCAAAAAGCTGATTTTTTTTTTTAAGAATTTTTAAAACTTTAATACAGTTCAAATCAGTGGGCCAGGTTGACTTCAGCTCCTTCACTGCCAAACCTGGGGGCAGGGACTGCTTCAGTTTCTCTGCCTTCTCCTTGTCCGTGATGACCAAGGTGTAAAGGTATCTGCTGCACCGAACTTTAAATTTCACATTATCCTTATTTTTCTTGATCTTGACGGATTTGGTGTCCTTCCTCCTGGCTGTGAGCAAAAAGTCCTTGATTTCCTCGATTTTGTGAGGCAATGCTACAGGGGCACAGGGGAGTGCGTGGCTGGCACAGCAGGCGGCCAGAAGGGAGGACAGAAAAGCTGATTTTATTACAGCAGCGGGACAGGACCCGTGGGCAGAAGGATCCGCACGGGGGTCCTGAGGAGCGACCCATTATATACTTTCAAGTTGGGAGGGGGTTGGGGATAGCATTAAGTCTCTAAGGAATTTTTGGAAACAAGGTTTCCAGGACCTTGAGGGGGCTAGCTATTGTTAGGAGAAGGTCATCTATTACTGTCTAATAAAACCTGTCATGAGACCCTTCGGATGTGTATCAGTGGGTCATATGCTCGGGGGATGAGTGCCTACATACATCTTGGGGGAGCGGCGGGTAGAGATAAGGGAAGTTTCCAAAGACATTTTTATATGTTAAAGTAGACTCACAGGATCCTGGGGGGTCAGGATGGATAATATTAAGCTAAGATTGCCTTTTGCCCTTAGCAAAGTATTAACATCGAGGCAGCTGAGTCCCTAGAGGAATGCCACTTTTCCTGTTTCAAGGACTTGTCAATGGGCTGTAAGTGGTAAAGAAATTTTTCTTTTGCCTTTGCATCCCACATCACAGGCATATGCATTTGGTTGCAGGTCTGGATACAAATGTGCCTCCGTTATCTGCTTGGTGTGTGACCTTGGGCTTGTCATTTTATCTCTGACCCCCTTTGCTGGAGGGAGACCCATGTGGGACTAGGGCAGACACAAGTCTGTGGCCTGTCCTGCAGTTATCAGCCGTGGGACAAAATTCTGATTTGTTGATAACCATTGTCAACCCTCTCATTTCCTTTTGTCAATGATTGCTCAAGAGGAGGTCTTGCACATAATGGGGAAATTTGCCTGGAGGCCTCTGGGAAAACTTTCTTCCCTTGATAAAAGAAATCCTGAAAGACAACCTTTTCTTTTCTTCCCTCCCTTTGGCTGTGATCATCTGGAAGTGTGATGCTTGGAGTGGCTGTAGCCACTTCACGCCCAAGAGGGCCATTGTCCACGCACTGACCGCCGAACACAGAGACCTCAGGTCCTCCAACCATTAAACCTGATTTCTAGGGGCGCCTGGGTGGCTCGGTCGGTTAAGCGGTTAAGCGTCTGCCTTAGGCCCAGGTCATGATCCCTGGGTCCTTGCTCCCTCTGTCTGCCGCTCCCCCTGTTCGCGCCCTCTCTCCCTCTCTCTCTGACAAATAAATAAATAAATCTAAAAAAAAAAAAAACCTGATTTCTAGTTTTGCTTTAAAAAAAAAAGTCAAAATTAAACAAAAACTGGTTTAAACCACTTTTGTCAGGTTGTGATTTGCTTCTGGGTTTTTTTGTATTTTGTAGGGTTTTTGTTTTGTTTTGTTTTGTAACTTGCAGTCAAAAGATTCTTTGCTTCTTTGTCTTTCCCGATGGCCAGAGCTGATTACAGCCAAGGAGAGTCCCTGACTCCAGTAGCCAATTGAATTGCTGACCAGTAACTGGGCCCCAAAAGGGTAGGCCAGATTTTTATCTTAGATTTGCATCTGAAGGGAAAGGACAGGTAAACAGCCATTATTATGAGGTAAACTAAGCCAGAGGCCCTCCTGAAGAGCCTGAGGCCTAGCGAGGTAAACATAACACATCATTAGTTAAGTATTGTTATTTTTTAAATAACTTAATGAATACATATTTGGTTAATTGTTGTGATTTCTAATTCTATAAACATTGATGGGTGTGACCCACATTAACTAAGGCCCCTTGGGAGGGGGTCCTCGTGGAGGAGGGTCAAGAGGTCTCAGGACTAAAAAGTCCACGAGCGATGTTTGGCACTTAGCAAGCTGATGTGAGAGTTGGTTAAATAATAAAATAAGCAACAGATCTGCTCCTGTTGCAGCTTATCTCTCAAAAGAACTTATTTTGGGGGGAGGGTGGTGCACCTGGAGAGGCCTTGGAAGCTCTGCACCCTTCCTTAGGCCTGGTCCTCTGCGTCTCATCATCTGGCTGTTTCTGGGTTATATCCTGTTACAATCACCCAGTGATCTAGATCTAATCTGGGATCCCACGTTTCCGTACTTGTCATGGCTGCTTACCCTCCTCCTATGTGGGGAAGGTCCTCCAGCTTTTCTTTCTTTCTTTTTTTTTTTTAAAGATTTTATTTATTTATTTGAGAGAGAGAGAAAGCACATGAGAGGGGGGAGGGTCAGAGGGAGAAGCAGACTCCCCGCCGAGCAGGGAGCCCGATGCGGGACTCGATCCCGGGACTCGATCCCGGGACTCCGGGATCATGACCTGAGCCGAAGGCAGTCGCTTAACCAACTGAGCCACCCAGGCGCCCTTCTTTCTTTCTTTTTAAAAGATTTATTTATTTATTTGAGAGAGAGAGCGTGTGAGAGCAGTGGGGGAGGGGCAGAGGGAGAGGAAGAGCGAGAATCTCGAGCAGACTCCTCGCTGAGCCTGGAGCCCGACACAGGGCTCGATCCCACGACCCTGAGATCGGGACCTGAGCCGAAATCAGGATTCCAGTGCCTAACCTCCTGAGCCCACAGGCACCCCTCCTGCATCTTTTCTGATCTTTCATGACCTGAATAGTCGTGAAGAATAATGGTAAGAAGAAAGAGGCAAGAACATACGTCCAGGGTCTGTTAAATCAGCGGCTCAACCATCCACGGATGTTGGTCAGCTTCTTGGCCATGCTCTTCCCTTTCTGGGGGCGATTCTGTTGTCCTCAGAGAAGCAGCAAAGGCTCTTTTATCATGCCCATCTGTCTTCATTCAACGTTGAGATTCCCAAGACATACCTCCCACGCCTCAGTGACCAGAATGGGCCACATCCTCAAAGCTGAAAAGGAGGCTGGCAGCTTCCCATTTGCCACAAGGCTCGGACCAACTGTCACTGCCCGAAGGAGGCTGGGGTCCGGCCGCCATGATGTCTCAAACTGCGCATATGGCTACCTGCTCACACTAAGGCTGGTAGCTGGATGGAGCTACCACTAGACTGCTAAAAACTAAACACAAAACTGCTAAAAAAGAGACACGAGGTCCAACATGGAATCACTTGTGCAAAGCCAAGCCCCACATCACCAGAGACTTGACATCCAGCTAAACCAAGGTACACTTTCAGCCTCTTTCAGGAATGGCATTTTAAACCATCTGAAATCACCTCATCAGCCCTCATGAGGCCACCTGCCTGGTATAACCGCTGTCATCCCCTAAAGGAAGGGGCCCTTGCCACAAGCAATCCACTTTTTGCTAATATAACATCTTTGTCCCCAGTCCCTCTGCCTGTAAAAGTCTTTCATTTTGCACACCTCCTTGGAAATCCTACCTACCTGCTAGATAGGGGTGCTGCCCCATTCAGGAATCCTTGAATAAAATAAATAAGATATTTAGAAAAAAATAGGGGCGCCTGGGTGGCTCAGTCGGTTAAGCATCTGCATTCAGCTCAGGTCATGATCCCAGGGTCCTGGGATCAAGCTCCACCTTGGGGTCCACGCTGAGCGGGGCATCTGCTTCTCCCTCTCCCTCTGCCCCTCTCCCCCGCTCTCTCTCTCTCTCTCTCTCTCACTCAAGTAAATAAATAAAATCTTAAAAAAAAAAAAGAGGACAGGGCTGCCCTCTTGGCTCTCACGTTCCAACAGGGTGGGGGTGGGGGTGAGAGTAAACATAACATTGGTAAATGTGGTTCTCACAGTCCCTTCCTTGGGTTGGATTGATTTGCTAGATGGGTTCAGAGAACCCAGAGAAATGTTCCTTACTAGATCACTGGTTTATTATAAAAGGATATAACCCAGGAACGGCCAGATAAGGCACGGGGAAAGGGCACGGAGCGTCCGTGTTCTCTCCGGCGGTGCCACTGTCCCCAAAATGGGCACAAGCACAAGGTGGAGGGAAGGGCAGAGGGAGAAGGAGACAGAGGAAGCGGACTCTCGGCCGAGGGAGCCTGATTGGGGGATAGATGGTCCCATGACCCGGAGAGCATGATCCC